ACATGTTGACTGTACAGGTAACCTTCAAGTTCAGATTGTGTGGGACAGCAGATAACTTTGTCCTTGTAGTCCAAAAGAGAGGGGGATTGCCCTAAACATCCTCCAACCAAGACGGTAGCAGTTTAATGTAGAGTCTAAACTGATTTGCAGACTACACACTATAGTTTTCAAATAAATTGCTTATAAAAGCCATTTACATGGTGATGCACTTTAAAGGTGGAGTACATTCTAGGATAGAATGAATGAATGGAGTTGTATTTACCCAAGTTTCCCAGATTTGTTGGCTCAGTGTTGTGAGAGATGGGACAGAAATACCAGTCATCTAGAGGTGCCAGTTTTTACTCTGAGTGGTATGTGTAGGCCCCATGGGCAGCAGATGTGTAGACATCAGTGATAAGAATAATTGCCACCATTATTAAGAATAGAATGCCGTCATTAAGAATAGAATGACAATGTTAATTTGTTAGGCTGTTGTAAGAAGATGTCGCCAACTGAGTGGCTTAAACAGTAAAACTGTGTCGTCTCTTGGTAAGTCTGTAAGTCTGGGATCAAGGAACTTGCGTGGCCATGCTGCCTCTGAAGGTGCAAGGGAAGGGTTTGCTCCAGGCCTCTCTCCTGGCTTCTGATAGTTCTTGGCTTGTGGCAGCATAATTCCAATCATCACATGGCATTCTCCCTGTATGTGTCTGTCTTCACAAGGCCGTCTTTTTATGAGGACATCAATCATATTTGATTAGGGGCCACACTACTCTAATAATGTTTGCAACACCCGAATTCTCAAGTAAGGCTACATTGTGAGGTGCTGGGGTTTAGGACTTAAACATATGAATTTGGTGTGGGAGGGCACAGTTTCATTCATAACAAGTGACCATATATCTATTGTCCCAGTTAAGACACTTATGAGAGTGAAAGGGAGTAATATTGTATTAGGGTTCTCCAGAGAAAAAGAACCAATAGGGTATGTATAGATACATTATATGTAGGAGATTGATTATGGGAATTGGCTTACACAGTTATGGAGGCCAAGAAGTCCCCTGATGTGCCATTTGCAAGAGACCCAGGAAAACCAGAGGTGTAATATATTCTGAGTTTGAAATTCTGCACCTCTGTCAGTTTGCTGAGAATGATGGTTTCCAGGTTCATCCATGTCCCCACAAAGGACCCAAACTCATCGTTTTTGATGGCTGCATAATATTCCATGGTGTATATGTGCCACATT